AGACGAAACAAGGTCAAGAACTGGTCAAAGCCTTTCAAAAGATGCTTTCTACTGGTCGAAAACCTACCAAACTGCAGATCAAGGACCAGAGTTCCTGAATCGGAAATTTCTGCGTGACAACAACATTGACTTTTTTACTGTTAACTCTGGGCTCAAAGCCTCAGTGGTTCAGCGTTTTAACGAAACATTTAAGTATAAGATGTTCAAGTATTTCACGGCCAAAAACACTCTAACCTATATCGATGTATTACCCCAGTTAGTATCTTCTTACAATAACACCTTCCACCGAAGTATTAAAATGAAACCAAGCCAGGTGACTAAAGCAAATGAAGCTCGAGTGTGGGATACTTTGTATGGGGATGACGTTCAAAAGCCTGTGCGATTTAAATTTCAAGTGGGAGATCGCATCAGGATTAGCAAAGTAAAGAGAATGTTTGAAAAATCTTACTTACCTAGTTTTAGGGAAGAAATTTTTACTGCTTACAAGCGAATGGACCGTCAAGTACCCGTTTATAAACTAAAAGATGATGCAGGTGAAATCTTAGATGGAACATTTAATGCCCCTGAATTGCAGAAAATTATTAAGAACGATGATGTGTACCGCGTCGAAAAGATTTTGCGGAAGAGAAAGCGTAAAGGAGTAGTAGAGTACCTTGTGAGATGGAAAGGATCTGAAGACCCAAAATTTGATCCTTTGGTTCAAGAAAGTGATATTTTGAAGTTGCAATTTACGCGCTTTTTTTGTGGGTGTAGTGAATAAAAGAAAAGGAAATAATAAAATGAATTGTGTGTGGTTTCGAATAAATTAAGAATACCCAGACTAAAAAGTTTATTACAACACAGGGTACGATGGAGGTAACACAGGTTTATCTGCATCTCCCTGACAATAGCAGTCTTGATAAATTTCCTCATAACACATTAACAGAGTACCGAGTTAGTTTACCACAAACCCTAAGCCTTACAGGCGAATGGGAAGTGGCTTTGACCGAGATCCATTATCCGCATAGCTGGAATAATATTCAACAGTTTCGATTTTACGTTCGAAATGAAAAACTCCACGGTGTTTGGGACTCCCTGGAGATGCTTTCGGATCATTATTCTTCCGTCGAGGATGTCCTTTAAAAGATGAAAGAGTTAGTGGGCGATGAAAATCGGTATACAGATGATGTACGGTTTTCATACGATAATCTCAGCAGAAAGGTTACGGTTCGTTTTAAACACAACGCAGAAGTCTCGCTAAATGATATGGCCTTTATGCTGGGGTTCACACCCAAACAAATTATTTCAAAGACCACCACGGGCGACAGACAAGTGGATTTGGAATACGGCTTTCACGATCTTTTCGTTTACTGTGATCTTATTCAGTCACAATATGTTGGCGATGCACTGATCCCTTTGTTTCGAATTGTTCCTGTAGAAGGAGAGGTTGGTGAGCGAGTCAGTAAATCGTTTGTGCACCCTCAATATGTACCTGTCAACAGAAAGCAATTTGAAACCATCGAAGTCAATATAAAGCGAGACACAGGGGAATCTGTGCCATTGAGTTTGGAAGAGTGTTGTTAACGCCTCATTTTCGTCAGAGTCAACCTCAGTACTTTTAAAAATGAAAAAACTCCACGCTCCAAATCATAAGTTCTACGAACATTTCACGGAGCTCGATTTCAGCGAGGTTATGGCTGAGGATCCATATTTAAAGGTCTGTTCCGCTGGGTGATGCCTCACCTGCAACAAGGTGCTAAGGTGATTGGAAAAAAAGCTTTACAAACGGGTGTCAATGTTACCCAAGATGTTCTCGATGGGGATAACATTAAAAAGGCAATCAGCAAACAGGCTAAACAAGCCCTTGGTCTATCTGCCCAGAATTAATTGCAGGGACAATCAAGAGCTGGCAATAAAGCTATAAAAAGGAAAGCGGAAGAAGCCAAAATCAGTTCACCTCCCGGCAAGAAAGCAAAAGCATCTCCGCAGCAAAAGAAACCTAAAAGCAGCGTTCATCACGAGTCACGCGAGTTTACTAAATCAGAGCTCGATCTTTTTACTATTCCTGCGACTTAAACCTCTATTTACAAAGGGCAATGGATTGAATATCACCCTCTCAGCAACATCACGGACACTGGTCCTATTGAATTTAACGTATCTAAACAGGAGAAGAATATTTAGATTTAGCGCGAACACAACTTTATGTGAAAGCTAAGACCACGAAAGCAAACGGAACTGCGTTAGATGCCGATACACAAATGAGTCCCGTAAACCTGTTTTTACATTCCCTGTTTTCACAAGTGGACGTGTCCTTGAATGAGCGACTCATATCTACATCCACTAATACTTACCCTTATCGTGCCATGATCGAGTCTTTGCTGAGCTACGGGAAAGAAGCTAAAACAAGGCAACTTTCTATGGCTATGTTTTACAAAGATACTGCTGGAAAGATGAATGTAGTGAACCCCTTGGCTGCAAACGATGAAGGAAACCTTGGATTAAAGGCTCGCTATGAGTTTACCAAAGAGAGTCATACGGTGGATATGATGGGACCCATTCAGTCAGTGATATATTCTTTCAACACCGGTTGATGCTCAATGGAGTTAATTTAAGAATCAAACTGAACCGAGCCAAGAATCATTCTCGGTCATGCAGCTGGGCTAAAACACTCCAGCGCCAAGTGCCCCATTCGCAGAATCGACCGTAAAGTACTCTCTATTCCAGGAGGATTTAGCTATTTTAACCCTGACAACATCTTTCTGGGTCGAATTCCCAGGCGCATTGTATTGGGATTAGTGGACACAGAGGCTTACGATGGGAGTTACCGTACCAACACGTTCTACTTCAAACACTACATCTTAACTCAAGTGGGTGTGTACGTGGACGGAGAACAAATTCCCCGAAAACGTGTGTTCCTGAATTTTGACGCCGCTGTGATAGCCGGCTTTCAAAGTCTTTTCTCTGGTATTGGAAAGCTTTCCCAGGATACGGGCAATCGGATAAATAGAAATGATTATGGCTCTGGTTACACCTTATTCGCATTTGATTTGACCCCAGATCACTGCCCGGAAGATCATTTTGAGCTTATAAAACAAGGAAACCGACGCTTGGAGCTTCATTTCTCGGAAGCACTCACCAACACGGTTAACCTTATCGTCTACGCTGAATTTCAAAACGTGATTGAGGTCGACGCAAACCGAAACGTTCTCTATGACTAGACAAAATAAAAATGGACACCATTCAACTGACCGTTATTTTGAGCAAGGACAAATTTAGACGAGGTGTGTTTCAGGGCGCGTATCCCTCAGACAAACTGCCTGGAAGTGTTTCGCAATACCCAGCCCTGTTTATGGCCAATGTGGATACAGTGACAAGCCAGGTTCGCATTGGGTGGCGTTTTATTTCACCAACACTGGACGAAAAAATGGATTTGCTTCAAATTTGTTCAGCCCAAATATGATGCAAATTTGTGCAAACTGTGGAATAAATCTGAGCAAAGGTGGTAAATGCCGACTTTGCATACCCATTTACACCCAGGTGTAAAAGATATGCAAAATCGGATTTACCACCTTTGCTCAGATTTATTCCCCAGTTTGCACAAATTTGCATCATAATTGCGCTGAGCAAATTTGAAGCAAATCCATTTTTTCGTCCAGTGCAAGGAGCAAGAAGGAGAATTTTTCGTTTCTTACGGAGTACCTCCCAGCAAATATTCAGGAACATTTACTACCTTTTGAAATAACAATTCTAACCAGTGGATTTTTAATACTTTGACATTACAAAGCATCTATTCCAAGGTCTGCGGACATTACTGTTTGTATTTTGCTTTATATCGTAGTCGGCAAAAAAGTATGAGTACAATTGGGTTCAGCCTCCTTGTCATACACACGAATCACATTTGTATTTTGTAATTTTGCAAATTAAAGGCAATATTTTCGTTCTATCTCCGATAACTCGTGGACTTGAGTTAAATGATTTGCTAATCGACATCCCTGTATGGGGCAGTGTTTACATTTTAGTTTCTTCATGTTGACAGGACGAATGTTAGATACCAACTGAGTAAAACTATTTGCGACACGAAATTTATTGTTGATTTTCAAGGGCAGATCGGGCAGAAAGGGCAGAAAGGGCACCTTTTTAGTCCTGTGTTTTCCCAGGAAGCGCGCGTGGAAACGCGCAAGGAAAGTCACGTCCGTGGCTAGACAAAGAACAAGCCATTATTAAGATTCTTCCAACTTTGCTTATTTACAAACGATTTTCCTATATACAAAACAACTATTAAAAGCTACGCAAAAATGCCATTTACAACTAGAGGCGATCTTATGTAAATATTTCGGAAAACTATTTTTGAGAGTAATATATATACAAACTTGAGAAAACCAAAATTATTTACAAATCAATTTTCACAAACTTGAAAACTTAAATGTTGAGTGATGTTGTGCTGACTCCATCTTCTAACACTTTACGTTTCGGGTAAAAATACGAGAACGCGTCCCTAAGTTGAGTATACGTATACATCGTGTTGTTAACTACTCTGAAACTGCGATTCACCCCAGCACTATTTTGTTTACTTAACAAAACGTGAAGGTACTTGTCTTTATTAATGTCATTGCATTTCTTGTTGACACCCCTACAACTAAAGTTATCTTTGGCCCCAAAACAATAATAAGTTTTAGAACACAACCCGATAATTCCTTGTCCCTTCCACTCAACCTTAAAAAGACCCGAGGTTCGCTTATCATAGGCATTATGCTCGGGTGTATCCGTACGGGGAAACCAGTTACATTTATCGGCTTCGAACTTTGCTTTCAATTCTGGTTTGACTAAACTTTTTACACTCTCCCTAGCAATAGCGATATACGCACTGTCTGTGTCCATTTCACACATTTGAAAATCGCTACGGTCTAAATACTTGTCTAAGAAATCATAATAAAACTGTAGCCTGCGAAGTTTGGCATACTGGTACACCAAAAAACCAGCTTGAATAGGTAAATTTAACTTAATGGTTTTCTTACAAGATTCTACTTCATACGTCTCTCTACTTCATACGTCTCATCCGTGAGGATGTCCAGTTTCCGGAACAGCGGAGTGTTGACTTTTCGGCTCGCTTTGGCATCACTGCAATATTCCACGTTTCTGTGCTTCAACTGGTTAGTGATGGTTTTCCGTAGCCAAAATTGCGCACCTAAAAACAAAAAGAAAAAATATAGATTTAATAATAAAAAAAGACTTGCATACTTTTAATATATAGATTTAGCCACGGCTAAAAGCGAAGCTCCCGTTAAAAAATTCACAATTTAAATCAAACAATAAACTTGTAATCCACAAATTAGGGCACATTCATGTGACTTTTGAGGCAAGGGCTTAGTGATTTTAGAGAAAAATAATTTGACAGTCTAAGAGTGAGACAAATTTTACATCGAGCTAATAGTCTTATTTGTACACCCAAAAATAGCAATCATGTTCGATCACAGTAGATTAGGCCTGGAAAACAAATAGACCTATTCGTGTATTGTATTTGCATTAGCTGTTGCTCCATTTGAGAGACCATGGATGATTGGATAACGTCGAAATATAATTTTAAAAAACTCACGTGCCAGGATAGTCCTTGGTGGCAGCCAATTTACACGTTGTATTCTTCTGTCTAAAAGGGATGCCAAAATGAAAAATCAGGCCGGGATTTTTTGTGTTCGACAAGTTTAGTTTACAAGTAAATCTTGGCGACGAATCTGGTGCCGTGTAAACCAGCCTTTTAAACATATTTTTTCTCATCACGTCTCAGGTAAACGCAGTACTATGAGGCCCTTTTCTTTTATCATACAGACCTGGGACAGACTTTGTTCTTTTTTGCCCTATTTAAACCTATAATTCTGTAGTTTTTCACAATTTTGCAAGAAAAATTGCACTCATTCAATATCCAGGGCGATCAAAGCACGCCCTTACTTTGCACAACAAATTATAGCATTGACCACATAATAAAACGTTTTCACGAAGAGAATTCCATAATGCCGGGACTTTTCAGTAAGAAAAATCTGGTCCTACGTGATATGCAGGGTAATAATAATGGGCTTTAAGTGAAAACGATAAAAAAGGCCCAAAACCACCATTTCGGCCAGTCGGACGGGTTCTCACTTTTGACAGACTAAATTTGTAGTGCGAATTAATAGAGTTAACATTTACGCTTCAACATGATAGAGAATTTTGTTAAGTTTAGGTTTTATTTCTCTTTATTTATAAAACTGTTTATGATTTGTTATGTGTAATCTTTAAAAGCGAGCTATTTATGCGCGGCGTTTTGAGTATTAAGGTATCAGCCACCCTTCAGGACCGTCCGCGCGCGGATCGCTGTAGCGTTAGTTGTTTTTATAAAAACCCCTACAAACCATATATTTTTTTAAAAGCTTAATAATTCCAGATTATGGATTTGAACTAACAAAAACGATTTACTTAAATGTGTTTCGAAATTGGAACGTTTTGTGTAAAAGTACACTTCTCTATAAATCATGTTCCACTCCCGCCGGAAATAAACGGAAGAAAACAATTAACACCGCATTCGCTTCTCAACACGTTCCACTAAAAAACCGTGTCTCAGATTTTTGACAAGTGCGTTTGTTTTTCTTTTATTAGCAAATGAAGTTGGGAAAGGCAATTAGTCAACACTCCCCGTGGAAAAAAAGCTCTAGCTTTAAAGTGAAAAGGAGTATTAAAATTCGCAGACACGGTTTTGTAGAAGAGATATATGACATCACTCTGGCCAAATTTTAGCCAAATTGATTGAAAGGCTGCCGACTTGGAGTTCAAAACGTACGAGTCGATCGGCAAAATTTGCGTTCGCAGATAAAATAGACAATACATTTTTGGCGGCATCCTACCTGGAATGAGATTATAACACCTAAATGTTTATTCTGATTGATATCAGAGAGGGATCAATTTTCTCTAACAATAGGACTTTGACAGGTAACATGTAACAGGAACGAACTTTCGCGGCAAGCAAGGGAACAGTTTAATTCTCCGTTGGAAAACTTCCACTCTTTTACACCACGAGAAGCACGGTTTAATTCTTTCTCGAGCAAAAGTTTTGCCTCTCCTTCGATCTTTTTTGTATGATCCGCCCAGGCGTTTTTGTCGATCGGCGCCAGGCCAAGGAAAGTAAAAAAACTTTGAAGCCGCCGAATGTCCACCACCGATTGCTCGAAGGCCAAGAACTGAGGCCGGGTTTATTTCAAACGCTCTGCTCTTCTCGAAAGAACGAAAAACAGAATTTGTCTTGTGCGACGGACGGCTTTCATTCTCGCACTGGATTCTCCAGGTAGAACCAAGTCCATGCTTAGTCGCTACATTTTCCATGACTTGGACTCTTCCCTGGCAAAATCGTAGCCTGTTCCAGGCGTTCCCCCTCTACTTTTCATCGCTTTCTTTACTTCGCACCGCTCTCCACTATCTGAACGCTTGGAACAGGCTAGCAAAATCGACAAGATACAGACTCGTCCAGTTTCTCAAGCAGCTTTTCGCTCGATACGATAGCTCGACCGGTTATTGTTTTCCACGTTCCATCAGCAGATGGGGTCGATGAGCTTAATTGGCTTTCTTCATCTGGCTCTTCAAGCTGGATTTTGGAGCGGCTTGCACTCTCATGATCAGTAACTGCAACATTTTCGCTTTTCTGAATATCCAACTCCTCGAGCCACTTCTCTTGCTGATAAAATGAGCCTTTGTCGCTCTCTGCCAATTTTGCGGCCCATTCTTTGTCAAACTCGCCTTTCGATTTCTTTTCGCTCTCGGTTTCGATGACGAAATTTTCTCTTTTTTTGGCGGCAAACGCTAAATATCCACGGAGAATACTAAAGGCTATAAACAACGCGAAGACAATTCGCACGTCTTGTGTCGAAGCACGCACTCGGTATCACGTTACTAGTTCACGGGCAAGTTAATTGATATATGACACGGATATGACAGATCTTGTCAACGATCAATTAAGATAATTAACGGGAAAAAATCTTTTACCCCCGATATCTTTCGACAGAGATATTATTTTCTTCTAATTTTTTTTTAAAAGAAAGCTCTCAAGCATATCTATTTGAAAACGTTGAAACCTCAAATATGGAAAAATGGCAATTTTAAGGGTGGCTGATACCTTAAGGCATGCGATGTTTATGTTCGACTGGAAACAACTGGTGCAGCGATAAAACTTTCGAGAGGGACTACTAACAATCAATAACATAAATATGATTCGGTGAAACATGTGCAGAGACAATAAGTTTCATTCACGAAGACAAGTATTGAGAGTAAAGTGTCTCTGAAAATCATGAGTCAGGTAACAAAAGGCAGAATTTTCTTTCGCACTTCATTGTTATTTTGTAAAGCTGACTTCCGATCGGTAAATTTAACCTCAGAGGTGATTTTTTCTATGAGATTGTGAGGGTAACCTCTAGCGCGAAGGCGTTTTTTGAAGTTGTAGATGTCCTCATAGAAGGATTTAATTAGCTGAGGAGTTAGTTATCAGAAGTCTTAGGGCTTGGCCCTTTATGAGACCTTTTCTGACCCCGTGAGGGTTGCAGGAAAAGTCTCTGTAGGATTAAAATGTGTGCGGATGTCGCGCGAAACCTTACTTTATTCAGATTATCTGGTATGTGATTGGTCTGTTCAAAGAACTGCAATTAAACCGCAAGGACAATGAGAAAGGAATGTAGTTCGAATGTTAGTAGCCGTTCTTTTGGGGGAGCGTTGGGTGACATCCAAAAAACGCTGCGAGGGAGACTACAAGTGAGTAAGCTCATTTTTGAAAACAATGTCATCCGAAATCGAATTTCCAATGACTTTGACAAGCGGTGCATTTGTCAACAAAAAGCGCAATAAACAAACCAGCCATGAATTACAGAACAATCTTGATAGCAGCTGTATTTCATTTTGTATATCAAGTAGAAAAAGACAGTTTAAAACATCACAAGATGACACAAAACTCTGTCAGTTTCAGCTATCAGTAAGCAAGTTTCCAGGCGCTGGATAAATTTTCTGCATGAACTCACCTGTCAAATTTTGACCAATCAGAACATAAAAATTGGACGTAGAGCGTGATCAACGCGTGACAGTGAGAAAAGTCAAAAGTGATTGCCTTCCCTGCATGTAAAAACCGGCTGAATTCTCGCGTCCGAGGTCAGTTCTAAATCAAAATGTTAAAAGTGCGGCTCATGAATACGACTTATTATATATACATTTTAAAAAAAATGGAACTTGAGCCTGCCATCATTTGAAAAGTAACAACTTGTCAGCGGATAACTTCAAAAAACACTCGAACTCAGTGGGTCGATACCTGAGCCCGCGATACGGTCAGTCGATACTGGTCAGCAAAAAAATTTTGACAGCTGTCAATTAATCAAAACATGGGTGTACAATATCAGGTTGCAGGCTCCCATACTAGCTAGAAAGTGTGAGATTAAACATTGGTATGCCTGTGGTGCGGACAGACGGAAGGTCGGATGATCGGTATACGGTCACGTGATTACCGAATTTCTAGGATGGATAGATTTTCTAAGCTATGAGGGCTTCGAATTGAGCCCGTAATCAAATAAAATATCAGCGAAAAACTTTAAAAACTACGTGACCTCAATGGATAGAAAAATGAGCTCGCGATACAGTAAGGTGATGATGGTCAGCATATACTCTAGTTTGACAGCTGTCAATTAACCTTCATTAGAACGGCGAATATTCGAATTAACAAACTACGAGTGTGGGTAAGAGATATCCGTCCGGCTTGTAGTGGAAAATGCCAGATCGTGTACCTGAGCGAACCGAGCCTACGTTATTAGTTTTCTGATAGTGGTCTGCAGATGTCCCATTTTGAAACCTTCATTTGGCTTGTCAATATAACTTTAAACGACTGTCAGCCGACTGACAGCCCTGCCATGCCTGGCGTAGTCTCGTTTTTATGTTGAATTGGTAAGTGTGACATATTATGTCAGCTTATATGTAGGGGCAAAAAGACTGGTCTTTCATCTGAACCCGCGAGATGGTCATGTGATAATTGTCAGCGGATGTCTGATTTTGACAGGTTTCAATCTAATCGTACTCATACAGATGGCTTACAAAACTGAAAAGCTAGTCAAGTTGTGCAAGATCTATTGTGACATATGATATCGGCTTATATGAAGTGTGTGTCCGGACGGGCGTGCGGGCGTACGCTACGTCATAACCAGATTTTCCCGGATAGATAGTTTACCAAATGTTGTTACCCATGGTGCTCCGCTATTACCTATGAAATATGCCTTTTTTCCTTTCCCTGTAACCCCCCAAAAAATGAAACAAAAAAACTCACCAATTTCATGGTATCCGCAATGATGGCTCTCCTAGGATCCGCATCCCCGGCTCTCCTAGCGTCAGACACTGCATCCCCAAAGGGTTTAAAACAGGGCTCAGAGGTGAACTCAACCACTTGGTGCACTTCGGTGACTTCCAGGCCGCGTTCTAAGTGCCATTTCAGCAAAAGTGTGGCTAACAAGATTTTTTCGCCTTTCATACTGCCAATCAAGCTTCGCCGAGGCTGAGTCATGATGTTATACTCTTCTGCGTAGCTTTTCATGAAGTCTCCAATGTCAGCGCGGCTGATTTCTGTGTTCTTGAAGATAGGGCACATTTCACTGAATTTCTCTCTTTCAAATGCTCAGGCACACGGATATCCACTTCCACGCACTCAAACAAACGGTCATGTCGCACCTCGCTCAAAATTCGCTCCGGGCTCATAATCTTCACTTTGTCGAGGGTTCTTCTTACTTCAGTGGCGATGAAATGCTGTAATTCACGATTTGTTTTCTTCATCCGGCACCATTCACACTCCCACCTCTCCACCACGTTGTAACCTTTGTTGCGGATGTATTCTGTATTGGCTCTGGTTTCTTCCAACTGTTCCGACATAGGTTTCTTGCGCTTTTCATTATAGTCTTTTCAGCGGTTCAGAACACAGTCATGGCCGTGCCAATAACACCCGTGAAACTGGTACACATTTTGCGTCTCAACATTGAAACCGTCGACGGGAATTTTACGATCCCCAGTGCTCTTCTCCGTGTTATTTAGCTGATGTTGGATATGAATTCGTTCCTTGTAAGCTACCCACTGTAACCATTCAATCGCCATCTTGATAGAGCTTTTAGGTTTAAACTCATTCTCTACAAGGCGTTTCGTGTAGCTGCTGGTGGGCATATCTTGCATGAGCGCCCAGAGATACAACGCGTTTGCGTCAGAGCCAACGATCTTTCCACTCGTCTTAGCAGCCTGACCTGTCTCGACCTCTCTGATCTTTGTTTCGCCTGCTTCATGATATCGGTGAAAGATGATACTTGGCCCAGCGGTGTTGTTATCTTTGATTAGATGATACAAGTCACTGTTAGCTTGATCGAAGAGACTGAAGTACGTTTGGTTGCTCAGAAACGAAAATAAATACTTGAGGGTCAGACCAGGCACAGAAATCCAATCTTCCTTTCTTGACAGAACTGACTCATTTTTTCTACAGCGTCTAAGAAAGGTAATACATCCAGATTATTGTACCAAACCAAGAAATAATTAAAGGTGACCATCTCAGTGTCTTCCCATACTTGCTGACAATACTGGTACTCTTCGTCAGTGATGTTAGCGTTCTTCAGAGATGAATAGAACGCAGCGCGTGGGGGCAGCGATGTTTCTTCAAGCTTCTCCGGATTATCAACCCACTCATATGGGAAAAACCACTTGGTCTGTTCGCACTCGTACGCTTTAAGGAACTGGTCGTAGCTCAACCCTGGAGCGAGATAATTAGAGATGTCCAAAATTTTTAAAGAGTCTGTCTTGAGGCACGTATGATTATTTTTCCTTTCCACAGTAAACTTGATGGGCTGATGCTTGATGAGGTACGGGAACAGGAATTCTTTGGTAGCATTCAGGTCGTACTTTCCGGAATTGAAACCCAGCACTGGCAGTTCTTGTGTATAGGCGATCAATTTCTCTTCAAGCTGACTAAGGACTTTGTGGTCACTGGTCTGTTCTTGTCCAAACAACACATCTTCAAACATGGCTTGTTCTTGACGCTGTTGTCTTTGTTCTTGTCTTTTGTAACTATCGAGTTCTACATGGATTCGTCTATAAAAGGATATGTCTTCTCGTCCTTCTGTAACATCATCGAGAAAGGCGCGGTCTTCTTCGTTCTCCGATTCAGTCTCTTCTTCATCCTCTTCATTATCACTCGCCATTAAATCAATGTCTCTACTTTGATCTTCACTTTCTTCTCCTTCTTCGCTTTCAACTTCAGTGTCAGTATTTCCTTCTTGAATTTCTACGAGCATTTGCGCTAATCGGTCTTCGTGAGTTTCTGGCGATTCGGGACCTCTCGCGGTTTTAAGAGCTTTAAATACGTCTGCGTATTATTCTCGGAGCAGAGAAGAACTTTTGGTGCTGATGGAAACCAAGTACAGAATAAATTCTGAAATTAACCCGTTTGGATCACCGTCAGTCACAAAACATTTGGGTGCTTGGTAACCAGACACATTACTGCAGACACTCACACTGAACGGAACATGGGCAGATTCCCAGTTCAATTTGTCCGTTTCTCACTTCTTGAGCTTCTTCTTGATCGAAGTAACATTCAAAATCGAAGGTGGCCCTGTAGGGAAAATAGCGGGCTTCTTTGGGGACGATGAGGCCTTCTTCTTCTAATTCTTCAAACACTGTTTTAGGTACATGGTACGCGCCGCCAGGATACTTGAGCTGGACTTTGCCGTCACAGGTCTTCTCGTGTCTATTTAACCTGAAGCCTTTTTGCCAGTATTTACCACAGCGAGAACAGCAAAAGGACTTTGAATACCGGGCGAGATCTTTAATATACGAAAAATGGTTTTCGTAGAGGTTGAGGTACATCGTGCTTGAAAAATGGGGATGTGACCGACGGAGGAGTGTAGCGTCAATCTCGGGAGTATTTTCTCGATCGTCTTCGTCTTCCCCATGGCTCTGAGTAGGCGCGAGACTGTACACTTGTTTATTGACTTCATACAATTTTTCTAGTTCGTCCAGTTCACTTATCTTGACACCATGGAACTTCTTTTTTACTAACCCAGCGTCTCAGTACTGTTGGTAATAGTGCTTGGTATCTCTTTCTAGGTTCTTCGTATGGCAACCATTATGCGGAGCCAGGCAGCGGAAAAAACACCGATTATCTTCATAAGGCTTGCCTCTTCTGATATCGCGATCTAGCGGAGTGATTCCGCGATTCTCTACACTGTACTCGGGCAAGTATTTTCCTCGACCAATGGGATTATCCCTGATCTTCGACACAAAAGAAACCAAGTCACATTAGTGACCAGATCTACCACCCATTTACTGCTGGGTCTTTGCTAGCGAACCCACTCCAGGAAATCGATGTTACTGATTTGGTCGTACAACCGCTCTAAATAATCTTGATTGGAGACCAGAAACGGCTATTCCAACACCAAATTATTGTTCGCAGAGGGGTGATGGTACTGTAAGGCCCCAGTTTCTGTATTACGCAAAATAAAACCAAAAGAGAAGTTAATTTTGACAGTAGGCTGATAAGCGAAGACGCGGCTCAGTCGTTCGCGGAGGCTGGATGGGTGGATGTAGTCCATCACCTGGGACCCGAAAATTTGGGTCTAATTGTACCAGTCTTGAGGACTGTTGTGGCGGCTAAATCGGGTACGGATCTGGGACCAGTGTTGCCGGTACGTCTGAGCAACATCTTCGTCAGAGCTTGAAAGAAGATTTGAAGGGACAAGAACTGGATCCGCTTCCCAACTGGAACCTGCAGTTGCAGCGGATGCTTGAGGAACAGATTGAGGAGTGGCTGATGGTTCTGATGCAGCTGTACTTGTACTTGCTTGGTCCGTCCTCTTGAATTTTTTCGCAGCTGGTGCGTCATTTCAAGCCGTAGCGCTGCGTTTACGGTTATCTGCTTGTTGTTGATGAGCGGTGCGGACATGAGCGTTGAAAGAGGCCCGGTTATGAAAGTTTTCTCCACAGGTTGCGCAAGTAAACGTACCTTTTGCAGCTTGTTTGTCGTGGGCTTTCAGGTGACTAGTAAGGACTGATTTGTCTGAAACATTCTTATCACAGCGGTTGCATTCGTACGGTTTCTTACCAGTATCGGTTCGCTGATGAGTTATTAGATGATTTGGGCGAGAGAAGGTCTTGTCGTAGGTGTCACAACGATATTTTTTACGAGGCGTTTTGGCTGCGGGTTCACCATCCCCGGACTGGATAGCCTATAATTAGTGAATATGACCTAGTCTTAGTGTAAAGCTCAACTAACAAGAAAGTGTTACTCCGATAAACTCTATTTTCCTACAATAAGCGTGATGACTTAACAATTGGGTTGATGGTTTGTTTTGATGTTGAATCGACAGAATAAATTTAATTTAATGTGTACTGATCCACAACATAATTGACTTTCAGAGATCAGCAGGCGGGTACTATTGTAATATATAGATTTAGCCAGGGCTAAAAGCGAAGCTCCCATTAATAAATTTGTAATTTCAATCAAACAATAAACTTGTATTCCACAAATCAGTTCACTTTAGTGCACTTTTGTTTTGAGGGATTAAGGCTAAGTGATTTGAGAAAAAAATAATTTGCTAACAATCCAAGAGTGCACCAAACCTTACATCGAGTTGACGGCCTTATATGTACACCCAAAAAATAGCAATCATCTTCGATCACATTTAACGTCCATAATGGCTCTTGATCACAGTAGATTAGGCCTGGAAAACAAATACTTGGAAAGCAAATCCGGCAGAATTTTTTCCGTTTGACAAGTTTGCTTTACAAAACCTTGCTAGCAAATCTGGGGGCGAGTAAACCAACCTTTTATACTTTTTATACATCACATCTGACAGTCTGAGGTGAAACAGTACTATGAGGCGCTGTTTTTATCATACACACCTCAGACAGAATGCAGTATTTGAGAGTTTTGAACTATAAATTGCACTCATTCAATATTCACGACGATCGAAGCACGCGTAGGCTTTTAGCGAAACCGCTAAAAAAATTTCCAAAATCACCCATATAACGGCCAGCCAGTTGCAAGCTGTGGAGTGTTTGAATGAACATTAATAGAGCTACACCTCAACATAATAAAGAATTTGGTTTTTTTTAATGGTTTTATAACAATGTGTAAACTTAACAAGCGTTTAATACGCGCGACGACTGAAAACATTAATGGCAACTATATAATTCGGTGAAGCATTTACAGAGGCGACATTTTCATTCACGAGGACAATTAAGTATTAAAGTGTCCCTAACAATCCTGAGTCTTTATGCTTAAAGCCTAAGTTTATGTTTTAAAGCCGGCTTCCCGGTGTTTGCTGTTTTCAAAGATGAACTCGAGGCGAGAAAATTGCTCAAAGCTTTCTTTCTACGGCCAAAATAAAAACGCAACGTTTTTTTCTTTCTATTTGCGGTGAGAAAATATCGACGAAAGACTTTTTAAAGTTCTGCAAGCTTAAATCAAACCTCATACTAAAGGTCAGATCATTATCTCAAATCTTAATTCAAACATGCATAAGCTATAGCCTCATAAACTGCGCTCGGCTTTATGAAATTAGATATATGAAAAAAACAAACACAAATACAATAATTACTCAGGCAGCTCCTGGAAGCTACATCGCCTCAGACTTTTCAATCAAGCAAGGTGATAAACGAAAACGAATCGATGCCATCCGAAATCGGATTTCCGACTTTGACAGGCCACGTATTTCTCAACCAAAAACCCAATAGACAAACTAGCCATGAATAACAGAAGACTCTTGATAGTAGCTGAATTTCATTTCGTTCATCCAGTAGAAAAAGACAGTTAACAGTGGTTAAAAACATCACAAGTTGACACAAAACTCTGTCAGCTTCAGCTGTCACAGTAAACAAGTTTCAAGATGCTGCAT